AGAGGCCAAAGAGAACAAGTTTTCTCCCTCCTCCTTATGACACCCTTTTAGATACTTGAAAACTGCTCTGATGTCTCCTTTCAGTCTTCTCCTTTCCAGACTAACCCAACCCAATTCTTTCAGCCTGCCTTCATAGCTCATGTTCTCTAGACTTTTCATCATTCTTGTTGCTCTTCCCTGGACTTTCTCCAATTTCTCCACATCTTGCCTGAAATGTGGTGCCCAGAACTGGACACAAAACTCCAGCTGAGGCCTAATCATGCAACAGAAGGGTCAGAGCACAATTATTTAATGACAGTGGATGTTGAGATTTATTACATTTTATCTTTTTGACTCTCAAGACAAAATAATCAGTATTACATTTCAAATACACAACCCAAACCCTAACCGTAGCCCTAAGCCATACCTAAACCCTAACCCTAAAAACAAACTCGGACATGTTTTCTGGTAGCATTTCTCTTACTTCCCTCGTGCACCAATTTCTCCTGTAATTGCCGGACTCTTTTCTCAGTCAGTGTGTCCGTGTGTGGTGACATCGACGCTTGCCAATGAAAAGCTAATCCTTCCTAACTAGAATCTGGGTCAGCCACATGATGCAGTTGCAAGACAGCGGAGCATAATCCTGGGTGTGTTCACAGCGGCTCTTCTCCGTGTGGGTTCAAATCTGTCCTCCCCCCTTCAGGAAACACAAAGGCTACGTCTAGACTGGCATGATTTTCCGGAAATGCTTTTAACGGAAAAGTTTTCCCGTTAAAAGCATTTTCAGAAAAGAGCATCTAGATTAGCACGGATGCTTTTCCGCAAAAGCGCCATTTTCACGATCGGGGCTTTTTTGCGGAAAACAAATCTTAGCTGTCTACACTGGCCCTTTTGCGCAAAAGGGACTTTTGCCTGAATGGGAGCAGCGTAGTATTTCTGCAAAAAACACCGGTTTCTTACAGTAGGACGTCAGTGCTTTTGCGGAAATTCAAGCGACCAGTGTAGACAGCTGGCAAGTTTTTCCAGAAAAGCGGCTGATTTTCTGGAAAAACTGGCCAGTCTACACACAGCCAAGGCGAAGCTGAAAGGAGTGCAGACAAAACCGATCCAAGAGTCGGAATATTTGGGCCATGAGGAAAGAAACCGGAGACGTTTTGTTTGAGCACGCAGCCGAATGGGGGATGTGATAGCCGCTTTTAGCGGTGTTATAGTCTGTTACCAGGTGGGCAGTGGCTAATTACTCCCCATGGCCACTGACTGTAGAGCAAGAAGGCGTGGGTTTAATCTGCTGCAGGGGAGATTTAGGTTCGGTAGTAGGACAAATTGTCTCACGCGGGTGAGTTGTAAGTTACAGAACGGGGCTTCCGAGACCTCTGATTTCCACAGGAGGTTTTACAGAAGAGGTGGACCAACACCTCTCCGGCCTGGTCTGGGTTTCGTTGTCCCTGACCCAGCCCGGTGGCTGGACTTGGTGACCTCTGGAGGTCCCTTCCAGCTCCATGTTTCTACGCTCTGGTGGCTCTTTGTGGGGCAGGACTACAGGGACCGAGGAAAGAGACACATTCCGATCACTCGCATCCTTGGCTCATCTCCACCAGGCCCCTGAAACGAAATCGCAAACTCACGAGGCGACCGGAGAACTCGGTGCTGACCCAAGAGCCCAAACGTGGCCTAAAGGCTGCTGTGCTCCAGGGAAGTTCTCTTGGCTCACAACCGGGCTGGGATCCTGGCGACCTGGCAGGGAGGGGGCACCATGCTGTGGGGAAGAGC